GTGGTCCTGTGTCTGGGTGTCTCCTTTAGATGAATGTTTCATACTCTGGTCTTTTCCTTCCAGGAATGGCACAGAAGAAAGAGGTCATGGAAGATGGCTCCTTGTGGGGTGTGGGTGCTGGGACTGAATTCAAAGCTCCTGCTAGAATTCACCAACTGAAAGCCATGTTCAAAGTAAAGATAAAATCATATAAGGAGGGAGTCTTAGGCCCATGAAGTTGGTGAGATGCAAAAGATTACAAATCTCTCTCTCTCTGTCTCTCTCTCTGTCTCTCTCTCTCTCACACACACACACACACACACACAGAGCCCAGAGCCTTGTGAGTCACTTGAACTGGGGGTGCCTTGCCAAATGGCGCACGTCTTCACTCTTAATTTGTCTGCTGCTCAGCCCTCAGCAGGCACACCTCTACCTCACACACTCCTCTGGGTGAATGCCTCATTCTGGTTCTGTACCTCTTCGTCTCTATGTGTGCCTCTAAGTCTTCTTACTCTTTCTTTCAGTCCCCTTTCATTTCCCCTCATTTGGATGGGGAGATACAGACAGATAGGAGACATACAGAGAAGAGCAGACTCTCCCGATGCAAGAGCACAGACTTTAAAATCAGTCAGAACTGGAGACAAACTCTAGCTCAGGGAGGAGCTAGGCAACCTCTTTAATAAGTCAGTCTCTGTAAGTCTCAGCTTCTTGATCTGTACATTTATAATAATAATGCCTACTACTACACAGTGGTCTTGCAAAGATTAAATAATATTGTGCTTGTGGAGTGCTCAGAACATTACTTGCTCATTGTAAGGGCTCAAAAAGTAGCAGTAATAGTAATAGCCGTAGTAGAAATTAGAAGTCATAGTAATTGTTTTTGTCGTTGTTTACATTCTGTTATCTCACTCCCATCAGTGTTTAGAGGGAATATTGCCTATGAAGGGTACATAGAGGGCAGTGTCAGTGCCTTTGGGCAGTTGTCCAGGAAGTCATGGAGGAAGTGGGGGGGCGGGGAGGAAATGAGGAAGAGAGACAGGGGCTGGAAACTTAAAGGTCTTGCAGTCAGAGAGCTAGTAAAAGCAGTGCCCGTCTACTGCATGTCTCTGCCACCCAGATTCATGTGTCTCCTTCTCCTCTCTTCGACTATTATTTAGTCTCTCCAGGTAAATCTCCCATCTAGAGATTTTCAGCTAGTGTAGAACGTAATGTGTCCATGGTGATCAGGAAGCAAAGTGAAAGAACTAAGCACATCTTGATATTTTGGTATATTTTATTCACTAATACTGCATAAATGCAGAGACCACTGTGCTAGATCCTTTTTGTAAATCATTTAATAATTAAAACAATCCTTTAAGACTGAGGATGTTGCTGATGCTTAAAAAGGTCAAAAATTCTCCCTAAGCTCTCACAGCTGGAAAAGAAAGAGCTGAGATTAAAACCCAGATGTGTGTGAGCCCAAAACTCGTCTTTTTTCCACTCTGACATATTGGCTCCAAGAAAAACAAAAGATAAGCTCCTGCCTTCTGAAAACTGGAAAATTATATCTCTGGGGCACTTTCAGGGGCCACAGAGCTTGAGTCCCTCATCAAGAGAAGTAGATGAGGAATCTGAAACCCAGACAAAAACAATGTGATTTGGACAACATCACATATCATATTGGAGGCCAGACAGAAATGGAAATCAAACCACTTGACTCCAGTACCCAGACTTCCCTATTACCTGAGGTCGCCCCAGAGTTCAGTGATGAAGCAGACCATGTTCCAGAATACACTGTGCTCTGGCACACATGTGTGCAACTGGACACTTACACAAACCCACTGGTATAGCTAGAAAGCCTTTTTTTATCTGTATATTGGCCTAAGACCCTTCTAAGATATGTAAATTGACATCCACCATGTTATGTCTAATCTAATACTTCCCTTACTGATTTATTATTACAAATTAAACCAATGTCTTCAAACTTCTTTATGGGTTCTTGCAATATCAAAAAAAAAATTTAAATAACGGTTTACCTTGGTAATGAAAACATAATCACAAACACCACTCTCAATGAAACCATAAAATGTCAGAACTGGAAGAAACCTAAAGATTATTTTGTCCAACTCTCTCATTTTACAGGTGAGGAAACAGGCTCTGATACATCATGACCAGCTCACCCTGGCACAGTAGATGCTCAAGGATGGATTTTGTGGTTCTCAAAACAGTGGCTGTTGGTCTAAGCTCTACAGTAATGACATCGGTACATTACCAGCCCCCTGTGAGGAGAGGAACCATTGGTTAAATTTCAAGGAATGGCTCTGGTGATGATGGGATGTCAATATCAGCCTGATCTGGTAGTCTGATGGGCATTGATGGACGTCTGTCACGGTAGGTATGTGAGTGCCTTGAAGCAGTGATTCGACCTAGCCAGGTAAGGATTCTCAGGGAAGGTGATCTTGAGCTAGTGTTGCTTATAACAATACTCAGAACTGGGTGACTTATACGAAAACAAAACTTATTGCTTAGTTTTGGATACTGGGAAGTCCAAAGTCCAGGGAACACTTATGGTGAGGGGCTTCTTTGGTGTTGGCTTTATAGCAATGCAGGGGTCTAATGTGGCAGAAAATGATGGAGCAGGAAGAGAGAGACTCTTCATGTGCTTTTTAAGGCCCTCAGAACCACACCCTGACCACCATTTTTAATCCATTCACTGTGGCATGGTCCTGCAATCCAATCACCTCTTCAAGGTCCCACCTTTCAATTACCATAATAGGATTTCCCACTCTTAGCAGTTACAGTGGGCATTAAATTTGGGGGGGACATTCAACCTAAGGCAGTTAGGTTTCAAAGGAGTAAAGTTTTAGGGTTGGGGTATATAAAGAGAAAGAAGAGAAAAAGAATGTGTCTTTTGGTTGAGTGAGTCAAGGGGAAGGCAAGACAACTGACTCCAGACAGCTGGGTCGGGAGATGGACGTGATTCTAGCGGTTTGGGAGGTACTGACCGTGAAGATGATTGATTGCACGTGCCCTGTCTGAGACTGAAGGTGACACTGATGATAAACACCAAGGGGTGTTTTAGGGGACAATCCAATAGAATTTGGAGCAACTGGCTGTGGTGGATGGGTGAGGCCTCTGGCTCTCTGAAGTTCCAGGGCCAGAAACCAGGGTCAGGGACAGTAATAGTGTTTTAGGGGACAATCCAATAGAATTTGGAGCAACTGGCTGTGGTGGAGGGGTGAGGCCTCTGGCTCTCTGAAGTTCCAGGGCCAGAAACCAGGGTCAGGGACAGTAATAGGGACATCGAGAGGAGGGACAAATTTGAGAGAAATGAGAATTGGGTGACTAATTCCTTCACTTAGGATAATTCAGCAAATGACACAAATACAACTCAAATCTTTGATGCCAGGAAAGTGAAATTAGTGAAGCTGCCATAACAACTGTGGAATTACAGGATGACGCCAAGCCTGCCTGGGGAACAAGAGTCTTCCCCCGGGACATGGCAGACGAGTGCAGCCTCAGAGGACGAATAGAACTTTCCCAGGTGGGTAATGGGGGGACTCCAGGGAACTCCAGGAAACGAGAAGAGCATGTGCAAAGACTTGGTGCATTCAGGAAGTGAGTCCCTAACTCCAACTGGAGTTTGGGGTGCACAAAGGAGAATAGCATGAGACGAGACAGGAAGCGACATTGTGAGGGACCTTGAATGTGGTCCTGAGTGTGGATAAAGAAGGGACAGTTAAGGAAAGAATTGATATCTGTAGTTTAGCAAAGGTCATTCTAGTCGGTGGTATGAAAAGTGATTAGAAGGAAGCAGACTGGAGGCAGTAGGACCAGCTGGGATCCTTCGTGATCATGCAGGAAAGAGAAAACGAGAGTACGAGAGGGAAGAGAACTTCTGCAGGGATGAGGCCACTGGGCGGGATGTGGTGCGCGGTTGTACTTGATGATGCAGGAGAGAGGGCTGGTCTAGAATGATGTCCTGACTTTTTGGTACTGGGCCAGCTCCATTCCCAGAGGAGGGGGGAGGCTTGGGTTAGAAATAATGAATTGAGTTTGGGACAGGATGAGCTGGACATGTTAGTAGGACGTGCTGGTGGACAAGCTCAGGAGGCAGGTGAATATACTTGTATGGGTCTGCAGCCAAGAGAAGGGATTGGTTCTTAAGACAGATCAAGGAATCGTCATCATAGCTCAAGCCATGGGAGGAGGTGCTATTACTATTGAAGGCAACTCTTCATCGTAAGGAGGCCATTCCCCCGAGGAGGGGTTGCACAACCCTCCCTTGCAGTTCTTCCCATATAACTGAGTCAGAGAGAAATCATGGGCCCAGGATGACCATGGGCTAGTCTTTTCCAGCTAAGGAAAAGAAATGGAAAATATAAAGAAACCAACCCAACCTAGTGCAGGTGAGAAGAGGGATGCACATGGTCTGTCAGCATAGAATTGGAGGTGTCATCTCCCCAGCAGTGACAGGTGAACAGAAGGTTCTAACGCTGCACAATCCCCTTCATCATTGTGGCTTTGTCTGCAGGACTGACCCTCTCTATCACTCAGAAGCAGCCCACTCAATGCAGAGGTCGTCCGGGAGAAACCTGAATCCCTGCGGTCGTTCTTCCACGCTAGGTGCTCAGCTCCTCGTCCTCATCGCTGGAGGCTGGGAAACAGGATGCCTGGCTCCTCAGGTATGGTCAAGGCAGGATTTAGAAGGCTGGCTATTACTGGGAGGGTGGGTGGACAGGGCTCAAGAGGACCCCTGGGTGCCTGGAAGCACACAGGACAGGAGGGTGGCTCTGGACATCTGAATTTCTGAGGCACATGAGCCTGCAAGAAATGAGGGGTGGACAGTACTGGACTGGGGAGAGGACTCTGCGTCCCTGGGGGTGTGTACCCAGGGTGAGGGTAGCAAGGGATGGGCCACAGAAGGCTGGGTGTAGCGTTCTTAGCTGGGAGAGGCCAAAGACACATGTTCTGGGAGGGAAGTGTCACCCTGACTCTCCTCTCGGCCTGCTCTCCTGTCCTCCCCTGACCCAGACCCTGACATGAGCCACTGGCCTGGGTCCAACTGGACCAGCCCAGGGGAATTTGTGATCCTGGGCTTCTCTGGGTGGCCCCAGGGGCTCCGAGTGCTGCTCTTCACCCTCCTCCTGCCGCTCTATCTGGCCACACTGGCGGGCAACCTGCTCATCCTCGGCCTGGCCCTGGCCGACCCCGCCCTGCACACCCCTATGTACTTCTTTCTGGGGGCGCTGTCTGCTGTCGAGGCGGCCTACACGCTGGTGCTGACGCCGCGCATGCTCACCGGCTTCCTCCTGCCTCCCGGTGGCCAGGCTGTGGCCACCTCCACCTGCGCTGCCCAGATGGGCCTCTTTGTGGCCCTGGGAGGCTCCGAGTGCCTGTTGCTGGCCACCATGGCCCTGGACCGCTACCTGGCCATCTGCTACCCGCTCTACTACCCTCAGCTTATGACCACAGGACTGTGCTGGGGCCTTCTGGCCTCCTGCTGTGTTGGTGGCTCTGTCCTAGCCTTAAGCCTCACCACTGCCATATTCCAGCTGCCCTTCTGCCACGGCGGCCTAGTCAACCATGTCTTCTGTGACCTCCCAGCCGTCTTGGTGTTGGCCTGCGGGAACCGTGCCCTGCAGGAGCACGTCCTCCTGGCAGCCTGCCTGCTGTTGCTGGTGCTGCCTCTGGTCCTGATCCTGCTCTCCTACAGCAGGGTGCTGGTGGTCATCCTGGGAATCGGTGGGGCTGCAGGCCGCCACAAGGCCTTCAACACAGTGGCGTCCCATCTCACTGTGGCTGTGCTCCACTATGGCTGTGCCACGGCCATGTATGCCAGACCCTTGAGCAGCCGCTCCCTGGAGGAGGACAAGCTGGTCTCACTAATCTACATCAATCTTACACCGCTGCTGTACCCGGCCATCTACACACTGCGGAACCGGGACATGCAGGGGGCCCTGCTACGGGTGGTCAGCCACAGGACACCAGGGATGGTCCACCAAGCTGAGCTCACCTAATGCTGGATGGCTGATGGGTCCTGAAACTTCCCCCACTGAGGGAAATCTCACTGCTCCAGAGTCATCTATGGCTCCCCAATGCCTCCTGAACATAAACCTGAGTATGACATACAAGGACCTCCAAAATCTGACTCCAACCCAGTTCTGCTTCTACTGACACTTTGAGCTAAAGAGTTCTTTGTTGTGGGGGGATATCTTGTACACTGAAAGACATTTAGCAGCATCCCAGGTCTCTACACACGAGCTGCCACTAGCATCCTCCACCTGCCACCCCAGAAGTGATGATCAAAAATGTCACTGGACGTTGCCAGAGGTCCCCTGATGAGCAAAATCACCCCTGGTTGAGAAATGCTGCTCTAAACTCTAACCACACAGAATCTATTGAACAGAAATGAGATTCATGTACAAGAAGTTTATCGCAGCATTATTTATAAGACAAAAATTATGAAAACAAATGTCCATGAATGTACACTAAACAACCGGTGGCATCTTCATGCAATGGAGCACTACACAGCAATGAAAAAGAATGAACTACTGCTGCCAGCAAAAAATAAAAGCTTCACAGATGTACTAAGGAGTCTAAGAAGCAAGACACAGAGAATACATACCATATGGTTCCATCTAAACAAAGGCTGATGACAGACTAATCGATGGTGACTGATGGTTGATGTCATAATAGAGGTTACCTCGGGTAACGATGTGGGTTGGCAGAGGACACAGGGGAGACTGCCTGGGCACTAGAAATGTTTAATATCTTGATTTGGATGGTAATATGCAAGCATGTGCACATGGAAAACTTCATCAAGATGCCACTTAAGATTTGTGACTCTACTGTATGTAAAATAAACTACTGCTGATTCAAGCTAGTCACAACATAAGGCAAGACTTCACACACTTTTATGCCTTTGCTCACGCAGCTTCCCGTCCCCAGTATATTCTTTCTCCCTTTCCTCCTACAAAAATCCCTTGTATTAGTCAGGGATCCACTCAGATACCATTTTCCCTGTGAAGCTGTCCTTGGTACCTTTCCCTTCTGCATCCCCAGTATATTCTTTCTCCCTTTCCTCCTACAAAAATCCCTTGTATTATTCAGGGATCCACTCAGATACCATTTTCCCTGTGAAGCTGTCCTTGGTACCTTTCCCTTCTGCCTCTCAGTTTTAACTATTGTTAAAATATTTTAGCCATCTGTCTTATTTCCCACCCTACCACCCACAGACTGTGAGATCTTTAAAGTCAGATCTCAGACACTATTCTTATATTGCAAGACCCATGAACTTAGGAGTTCTTAATAAATATTTGACAAAGGAATAAACCGTAGAAAGCTCTGGGTTGTTCGGGGATTTCTCACACATTGACTACCGGGCTAGGGACACAGCTCTTGAATCCTACCAAGAGTAAGAATCTACTAGATTGAATCATCCTCTGGTGTCTTTTTTCTAAGAGCATCAGAGTTGGCTGTGAGGAAACCAGTTGGCAATTCTTGGGCCAACTTACCAATGCCAAGGGGCCTTGAAAGTTAACAGGCTCCTAACTTGCTATAAATAACTGCATTCAGAAAACCCGATACCCCAATTGCATCCCCAAGGCCCGTGTCCTAGATTCCATTGGAGGAACTTTTCCCTAAGATATGACTAAGGACTATCCTCAGCCTAAAAATATCTCCTACAGGGCTCTTCAGGAACCAGAAGTCCTACAGGCAGACTGTGCAGATAAATTCTGCCTACCTAACCTCCTGGCTGGAAAAAGTGTACATCTATGAAGGCTGATTTGGAGCCTGAGAAGAATTATATCTGGGCAGGCAAGATGGAAGACCACGAATGAACCTATTGGCCACCTCAAAAGTCCTGGGAAAGAGTCTCTTTCCCAGTATGCATCTCCATCCTCGCCTTCTGCTTCTCCTTGAGGCTGGCGTTCAGGAACCTGATATTCACAGAAGCCCTAACCATGGAGCCTGAGAGTCTCCCAACCTCCTCCCCAAATCCTACAAGTATGATGAAAGTGATCCCCCCCCACCCCATCCCCAAAAGAGATTTAGGACAACTATTCATTTAAAAAAAAAAAAAAAGACTTTATGTTTTAGAGCAATTTTAGGTTCACAGCACAACAGAGAAGAAGGTACAGAAATTCCCAAATGGTCCCTGCCCACACATGAAATGAACTCAGCTGGAGTTTGTGTGTCAGAATCCCGAGAAGCATGAGTTGAGGATGTCCTCCTCCAAAAACATTTTGTGTTTGCTTCGGCAAGTTGTTTCAAAGACCACGACACATTTGTTAATTGTACAATTTCTCGGGACATGAATACAGCAAATTCAAAATCCTAACTTATATGAGATGCAAGTCAATGCTTCTGATTCATTAAGGTAAACTCTTACCCTACCCAGAGCCCAAAGAGAGACAGATAAGCTTTCTGTCTCTGGTCTACCCTTTCCCTGTATGTACAGACTTTGAAAAGTTCTGAATTGATAAGCTACTTCAGTGCCAACTCCCTGCCTTGTGAGGCCCCAGGGCCTGGTTTCTTGTGTTCCTGTCATCTCTAACACTCAAGCTTCTGGGTAAACAAAATTAAACCCACAGTGCAATTATGGCATCACCTCACAAACTTTATTCCTGGTTTTCAGTTCCCCGTACATAGCTGGCAACTGGAAAATTCTTATTTTCTTTTTTTTTTTTAAGCACTAAAGCAATGTTTTAATAACCATTACATTGTAAGAAAGGTTTTTGCAAAAATAATAACAATAGTAATAATTAACATATAGCTTATTAAGGAAGTAAACTTTGCATATAATTAGTTAAAGCCCAGAAAATAGAGGACAGTAATAATAGCCACCATTTATCAAGTGCTGTGTGGAAACTTATTTTCTTGCAAGCTGAATTATGCATTAAAAGAATGTTAGCCTTTTATTTTCCTACTTTTTTTTTTTTTTTACAACAGAAGGGTTCACTTAAGACAGTTTACCATATTGCCAGAAAAGGGAGTCTTAACCTTATACATTTAATATATAACTTAAAACTAGTTGACTGAGAGATATCAGAAGATGTCACGAAATGGTTGGTTTCCAGATTCAGGGGCTCTTTAATACCTGCCAGGAATCAACAGCAGAAATAGTATGTGGCACTGTATGTGGACTTCTGGTTTAATCATTAATTCACATCACTCCAGTTATAATATATATTACAAAGACAGGATGGTATAATTTAGTGTAGAACGTCTTGATAGATATTATTCTATATAACACGGTATACACATATACAAAATTCACAATTATGTTCAGTTCACCAATGAAACACAAAAATAAATAATTTTTATGTAGCATACACAGGAACATAACCCCTATATACATCTGGGATTGTTCTGATGCTTATTACATCTTAATGATACAATTTATTCCTATATTTAGAAGCTCAATATCC